CCCTCAAATTAAGCCTGCATCGTGATAAACAAGATATTATGTCATTGTTTCACAAAATAGTGCACATGCAAGTGATCATTAATATCCTCACTCATAACCGTATATGAATACAAGGATTAAACTTGTTTTCAAAGCAACGAAAATATTTTTTTTAAAACTGACATATTGAGAACACAGAACCAACAATAATAATGCAAATTATTCAGAAAACCGCAATGGAAACTACAGCCCTCTCACCGGTTTTCAAAAACTTCAAGCAGCAAATTCACAACACATCAGCCTACTGTATATATTGTAAAAACGGTGTATTCCAAATCACAATTCAGGGACGCATTTGTCTTATCGAAGAACCTTTTTCTGCTGTGTCCCAAGTCTGCAAACTAATATTTTGCCATTTTTACAGGAAAATATAATTGCAAAGTAAAACCTTGTTGAAATATAAGAAACCCATCATGCTTACTTTGAAGATGGAAAGAAATATCCAAAGTATTCCATTCAAACAAAAAAAGACGATAAAAGAAGTTCCTCACCCTGAGTTCAGACTATGAAAGTTTAGCTTTTCGCTTCTCTGATAGGTACATCTAGCTGTCTATCAGTGAAATCTGACCATTGAGAGATATAGGGCAGGGCTTATAGAAGTTTAGAGTTGATGACGGGTTTAATACCTCTACTTTGTACTGTTTGTCTGCCTGTCAATGAAGTGAAGATCAAAGCGATTCTTATCACCTTCTTTCTCCAGGACTCGTCTTTTTGACTCCTGGAGCCTTGAAAGAGGTGCTGTAAAAATGAGCCTAACCAGTATAAATAGTTTCTCTAGCATTCCCCATGACTCAATAATAATAATAATAATAATAATAATAATAATAATAATAATAATGGAACTTCTATATTTTTTCCTAATTTTAATCTTTTTGTGAAAGGCTATGAAAACCATGTCAGAACCTGGCTTTATGAACCCTCGTGTGGATTTTTTTTTTGTCGTTGTTCCATCAGTCTCAGATTTTTATCTCAAGTGCAGTACTGTAGATACATTGGTGAGGAGGGCCTGGAAAAAAATTGTACCTACGGTACATCTTGAAAAAAAAAATACTTTGAAGAATGACAATGAGTGTTTATTGGGGGTTTTTTGAGGGGTGCTGGGGGGGCTTATTGAGAAAGACATAAAAATCTGATATTGCAGACTTGATACCCAAGTGTTTACATTGAATTGAAACCCTGAACCAGCCTGTACTGTCTATATTTCCCAAGATATTTCAAGATGTTAAGGGTACATACTGTATATTCCAGGCGGAAATTACCTTGGAGTGCTGGAGTACACTTAGAAGAAGAAAAGCTGTGTTAAATGAGCACACCTGGCACAGTCATACAGTTCACCCAGGCTACTGTCTACTTAGGTCCTACATTTTCTCATTGTTCCTCTGTGGGCCTGTGGGAACAATAACAGGTGAAAGAAAAGAAAACAGTTCTTGCATGTTAGATTTGTGGAAACATGCTCTGTGTTTACATCCTACTGGCAGTTGGTGAGATTAACTCACTAGGAAACTGCTTGCTTGCTGAGCAGAAGGGGATCTGTTGGGATTAGTAGCACTGTCGATGTGTCCCTCATTCTGTGGGTGCTGCTCTGGTTTTCACCAGCGTTCACACGCCTCTTGTCTCTCACCTGTCCCAGAGGCCGACAGGTCTCAGTGTTGGTGCTCAGTAAAGTGGAATAACTCAATTTGGGATGTTCCTGGGAATCAGCTGAAAGAGAGGCAGGAACTCACAGAAAGGTGTAAAACAACCTGGAGGTATTCTGCACAAAACTGAAAACAAATCTACCAGACATCCTATTTGGCTAATTAAGACCAGTCTCCAGAAGCTTCTGTCATATGTCTCTCAGGTTATTTTACATTTGTTTTTGCAGTGGTTTTCACAACTCTAATCACTAAATGTTCACAAGTATAAGACCTTAAATTGCCATTTATTGTGAAGAACAAATTTGCAGGTGCTGTTTAAAGAAGAATGATGGCAATGAAAAGCTAATCATACATCCACAGTCTCTCGTGGTAATTGTTGGCCTGGCAGGAGTGTTTATGTGTGTGTGTGTGCATCTGTTGATAGAAAAATATTACTTTTATGACACAACAACAGGGTCTGGGTTATATGGATTGCAGAACCTAGGTCTCAGGAATCACACAAAATCTGAACATTCCCTTTCCTGAAGAGCAAGATGTCCTATCTACTGTATATGCTGCTACCTTATCTATTTTTTCTCACAGCAGTATATAGGTGGGTTTTTTCAATAAATCTTTTTAAAAGGACCATGCATTTAGCCACCATACAAAACAAATCTGTACTGTACGTGGTGCTCTAAAGCAATTATTAGAAGTGGTGTAAGCACAGAAAGACAGACATAACGCACATACTTCCATGACAAAAAAAACAACTGAATAACCTGCAACCACAATTTAAACATGTTTCAGCCATGGCACAAAGTACTATATGAAGCATCTTGTGCACAGGTTTTCTAAGCAAAGGCCATAGCGGTAGTGATACTCTACTGTAGAGTAGTGATACTTAGGATTCTATGAGTATAAATATCCATAGAAAACAAAAGCTTGGTACACTGTAGTAAAATTAGAATGATGATGATGATGATTCTGCCTACCTTGATGTCTGCTTGCAAAGCATGGCAAGCTAAATTTTTCCAAATACTAGGACCTGCCTATCCCTGTGGCATGGAGCCATATCCTGCTGAAAAAGTTCATTCACAGATTGGCCACACTGATTGCCATGACCCACTGTGTGCCATGACAACACCCCCCCCACACCATCACAACTCCGCCACCAGCCTGCATTGTTGACACCCAGCAGGATGGATCCATGGATTCGTGCCATTTTTGCCAAGTCTTAGTCCTAGAAAATGAATTCTTCAGCGCAGACGATTTTTTCCCAATCCTCCGTCGTCCAGTGTTTGCGTCCCTTAGCCCACTGCAACTCTACCTTCTTGTTTTTCATTAACAGGAGTTGGGTTGGGTTGTCGGCTGCCATACCCTGTCTGTGACAAGGCACAATGAGTTGTGCGGTCCGATATGCCTCTTACAGAACCACTGTTGTACTCGGTACTCAGAAGCATGTCAGCCTCCTTCTGCACCTTCCATCAGTGGTCTGTTTCTCACCACAGGACAGCTGAGTGGTGAGCCCATTGAGTGGGCCCATTTGAGTGGTGGCCCATTGCTGATACACCGCTGACTCTGTCGCGTGTGAAAACCCCAGCAGGGCTGCTGGTCCCGATTCACTCATGCTGGTGTCTCTGGCACCCACTACCATGCCACGTTCAAAGTCACTTCGATCTTTTGTCTTGCATCCTCACGCGATCGGTAGTGTGTGCTACCATACCCACTTTAACCCTGCAACCTGTATAATAAAAGAGGACCTGGCTGGCTGGCTGTTTGCTACATCTCTCATCGGGATCTAGAGTGGAAGTTATTCAAATGAATCTGACAATGTTCTACCACGATTCTTATACCTTTTTCAATCTCTTCCAGTAGAGATCTCTACAGAACAATGTAATGAATGGGGTAAGTTGATTTCAAGATTGACAGTTATTTGGAATACTCCACTACACTTAGCCCAGGAGAAGGATCTAAAATCTTGATGTGATCATGATTATAGTGCAAAGTGGGAGTAGATGGAGTCTCTGATTATAGATGAATTTCCAATATAGAATGTTTTGGGTGATAGATCACTGGCAGAAGCTATACTATATATAAAACAGCTACTGTATACCCTGGGTAATAGTACCAATTAAAATTTGGTTTAAGTAACATTTTGTGCACATTTGATGCTGTCAATAATAGAGCAATCAATTACATGGGAAGGCAGGTATACCTAATAAACTGACCATTTATATTTATATTTATGCTTTCAGGTATCCATCTACTTTATTAACCACAAATGTACAGTATTTGTGTAACAGATACCAGCAACAAATAAAAATCACAGTAATGTCAAAGATCAGGAATGTGGAGTTATTTTTTATCTGTTTAATATGCAAATATAGGAAATGTTGGTTAAGTATTGCTATGACATGGACATTTGCAACTGTAACTGTCTTCTTTTCTGCACATTCTACAAAATGATAATTCAATTTCTTAGGATTCTGATTCAGAGCCATAACCATATGTAATATGGTATTATTTGTTTTTCACTAGGACATATTGTACTAGATATAGATTGTATCACTGTAGACATGCATTTCTAACATTTATGTTATACATAAATATAGTCAACCTTTTCTCACCCTTTGAACATTAACATGTATTAAATTTAATTTGCAGCTAAAGCATTCTTGCTTTTCACAAATGATTAAAATAATTGGTTAAAAATCTTAAACAAAAGCACAGAGACAGAAAGCTGAAGGGTGAAACTGGAGAAACACATACATTGTTAATGTATTTACGTTTGCACTCACCGATGAGTTCGAAAATGCAGCAGCTGCAACAGGTCTGTGAGTGAGAATAAGCCACCAAAATGCCCATAGGACAGTGATATGAAACAAGAGCAAGATGTCAGAGTAGTTCTAAACTTTGCCCTTTGTGTAAATGAATCTATCTCTGATCTTGCACCACACTTCTGTGATACTCTCTTTCCCTGATTCTAGTCTCAGGGCATTCTGGTGAAGCGCATGATGCAGCAACCATCTTATAAAACCTCTTAATAATTAGATACACAATCAGGAATATGTCTACATTAAATAACTGTAGTCTATTTAACCTTCAATTCAACTTCAAATTTAAACTAAGTGAGAAAATCCACTTAGTATCTGTAGAGGGTTTTCTGCACGAAAGCAGGTTTAAATTCAACAGCAAAAGCATAGGACCTTTTGGTTCCACTGAGAATCACTGCACGTTCAATTTAGGGGAGAAATTTATTAAAGTTCTGCACTGCTTCATTATCAGAGAGAATAAATAAGAGACATAAAACATTTTCACAGAAACAAACAGCTACACCACGCTGGGTCCAGCACACCCAGGTGATTCAGTATAATGAAACATACAAGATACATTTGAAAACACACAAATGCATAGAACAACCATTAATAAGCAGGGGAGTCAAAATTTACCACTAGTCTGTCAAGTTAGTTCTGAGATAAAGTCCACCATCTGTGTTCACATAGGAAATTCAGCTCACAGAGGACTTAGTCATAAAATACTCTCCACAATATAAAGTCGTATTTGACATTTGGCAACAACCAGACACTGTAAAACAGAGACACTGACAAAGAAGTTCTGCAGTGTTCCACATGGAAAATGCAGAAACAGAAAGGCTAGCATTGGATCACAACCATGGGGCTTCCATTTGTATGGCTCTTTCTTTTAAGTGTTTATTGTCTTGTTGCCTACCTGAAGGCTTTACTAAATCTCAAATTACTGAAAGTTATTCTCTGGATTTATAGTTTCATGGTAGATCATGCTACCCATCGATGTTGTTGAAGCCGATAACCTGCCTTCCTTTGGGATGTGGCTGGGTGAGATCTTCAGAACAATTATCTACTAACTTCCACATGGGCTCAATGGGTCAAACGGCCTCCCCTCTTCTTAACTGGTCTTATGTTCTTAGACGTGCTGGATGAGTTAATCTGTGTTTCTGAACTGTACCTGTGTGCTTGTGTTTGTGTGCTCTGCAGTGGACTACCACCCAGTTCAAGATATAGTTCTGCTGGACAGGCTCCAGGCTGCTCCAACCATTCCTACTTTAGGAAAGCAGATTGGTGACTGACTCCAATGAGAAGTTTGCCCTTGATTCTTCTTATTAATAACTCCATGCAATTTAAATGGTGCATGTGAAAGAATACTGCAGAACATCGCCATTTTATTGGAAGGATTATTGGTATAGATGCCTTAATTAAAATCTGGTTAAAAATAAATAGGCAACCATAAAGATCTCACACGAGTCTCAGTTTTGAAATTGCAGGACTGAAATGTGTGTTAAACAGGCTCTGGGATTAGTTTGTCAACTGTGCTTAAGAAACTGCTCAGTGGCTGTGATGATGATTACAATCATAGTAATTCCTGCCATTTGTGTGGTGTCTTTCATCCCAAAAGATCCCAAAGTGCACGACATATAAGGGGAAACCACTTCATCCACCACGGAATACAACCCCCATTTAGGTCATGTGTGGCTGTCACTGTCACGAGTGATCAGGTGGAGACGTGAGAAACTGCTTGTGCAAGACCAGAGGGAAACTGAGAGAGGGCAGTGGCGTTCGCATCACTATGATGTTACATACATGAAAAGCAAATGGACTTATTTGATAATTAATAAATTTATACTGTTTTACCCTGCAAATTATTTATCTGGAAATACCAAAAATAAGGGGCCCTATATATTTAACACTAAATTGCTTTCAGTTTTCTTGTCACAACACTGCAGTGGGTTATGAAGCACAGATAATGAACTATACCGAGTACAACAAAACAAACTCTGCAAAAAATCCTTCAAATCAAATATATATGTCATTGTTTACTTTGATGGAGTTGTATCACTCTGTCGTGGTTTCCCTGTGCTTCAAAAGCCATGGCAGCAATATACTGTAACATGAAATGAATTTGCCTCTTTAGTGCAAATATGGCACTGATGGACTTCTGGGAGAGGAAAGGTTCTACAAATCTGAAATTTGTCGTGAGAGGTTCTCACTGTTTTTTAGTTCGTTTCCCGATGTTTGTTCAGATATGGATGCCACACGTGGAGTCTCACAAAGTCATTTCACTAATATCCCACGTTTTGGCAGGGACCAATATCATAGTTCCAGTAAAACTTGCCTGCAAACATAATGGAGGTGTGTGTTGGGGGTGGGGGGGCATTACTGTTTAATGAACATCCAAAGGCAAGCAGACACCAGGTTAAAAGTCACTGTCCATCTCTGAAATGCACAAACTTCAGACCTCAGAGTAACATCTGTGTCCTTCAGCTTCATGTTAGTCGTCCAGATTTTAAACTGAGATTATATCAAAACATATACGTTAAAGCCTCTTGGCAATCTTTCATATCGTGGATAAACTCTCGCGGTAGGATAATAAAAAATTTAAAAGAATCTAGCTCCCATCCTAGACCGATCAGTCCTTTCTGGTTTTTTAAAGTTTCGGAATTGTTCAAAGTTCAGCTTGCGCAGAGTCTCAGAGAGGAAAAAAACAACAACAGACCTGAAACCCTTCGCTCTGCTTTTCTTCTAGTATGTTGGGACAAATTGCCCTTCTAACCCTGTAGATCTTCAGAAGAATGTCCAAAAATAACTTGAAAGACTAAACCAAGACCTCTGAGGCTTTATCAAAACTGGGTATGGTCCACCTCGTCCAGCCATGAGGCCGGACTGGCAGGAAAGTCCGGATAGCCTCCACTGCTGCCAGTCGACAGGTCTGAGCTGGGTCCGTTACCACCTAATACACGCATGGCCTGCGTCATACCTGGTGCACCCTGGGCCATTATGGCCAAGCCAGAGTCTGGATACACCAGGCTGGAGATGAGAGGCTGGTGTCCAGGCAGGGCCTGAAGGGAGGTTGGAGACTGGGGAACGCCATAGGGACTGCTGGAACGGATGTCATGGTATTGGTCCTGGGCCTGGATCACGCCATGCTCTAGAGGGAACGGACCATGGGTCCCAGTCTGCCTGCCAATCGAAGAGGTGGTCTCGTTCAACCCGCTGTATATCCCATTGGAGTGGCTGACTTCTGACATGGACGGCTCATCTGAAATAGGGGAGAGAATCCATAATCAACCTACATGTTCTCTTCTAAAGCAGGGACAACATTTTCCTTTATGTGCAAGTTGTACGGTTGAAATATTAGTGGAGCTTTGCCCTTGCTCTTTTCTGGCGTAGAAAGCACTGTAATTTAATTTTAGTCGTTACTCATCATTCCCAGTTAGAATGATAAGCCTACCACAACTGATAAAATCATGTCAGTTTACAGGATACTCTCTCACATTCTTATAATGACTTCAGATTTTTTTTTGCTGCAAAAAGGTAGGAAGGTACTGTATGTAAATGGGTATATTCTAAGCCACCACTTTAAAAGATCTTTATTGACTTATCATGCATATAGGGGAAAAAATTAAGTTATTTAAATTTTGGTTCCATTTCTGAGACCTGAAAGACGATGGGAAGAACAAGAGCAGACAACAACATCTATGATAAAAGGAATGTCACAGGACATGAACAAGAAATATGATATATTCTCCAAATTGATGAATGTAACATGAATCAAATTCAGGTTTCGCTTTCCTTAAAGGCAAATACCATTATGGAGATGATTAGTGCCTTATTAAAATATTGGCAGTTCACTTTGTTTATTTTTTTGCTTGGAATTTGCATCAGTGTCCAGTAATATACTTTAATAAATTGTTCTAAAAACGTGTTCTTCCCAGCTGTACCTGTAAAGGAGACCTCAGCATCGCTATCCACCCCTTCCTCCTGTATGCTGTCCTTGTCCGATTTGGCACTTCCTCTGGATCTCTTCATGTTGCGGAAGTATTGGCCCCACCTCTGCCGGCCCGCGTCCTTTTTCAACCTCTTTTCTTTTGCTCTTCTGTTCTGGAACCACACCTTCATGGAGAACAGGGAATCAATGTAAACTACTACATCAAAAGATGTTTTATTATATAAATAGACGATGCTTCATCTTCAAACAGACGGCTTTCTCTCTGTGAATTGGAAAAATAATTATTCTTATTCTTATTGCCTGATGTAATTGTTTCTTTAGTTCTTTATGCAGCATACAGTATGTTCATTTGATTGCAGCAGCACAATTTGTTGTGGGTTAGCTTAGTTTCTCTTTTGCCCAGACTTTTGATAATTTCTTGCACGGAAAGGCTGGATAGTAAAAGAAATGGACTTCTAAAAGATAGTGCGGTAAGAGATGCAGACATTCTGTTTTTTTTTCTTTTGCTACCTTCTCCTTTGCTCACCAACTACAATAAGATCCACCACTGACATTTCCACCACTAGTGTTTAAAAAGCCCCACAAAATACAATTAAATGTATTTTGTTTTGTTCATTTCCTTTTTAGCCTCAACACAATTTATATAGCTATTCTACTTTTTCTTCTCTGCTACTAAATGTAAGGTCTGCAATTCTGCATTAAAAACATACAATATATGTGGTATAAACATAAACATAAAAAGCCTCTTATGCCACAGTATTTAACAATGCCCGATTTCCCCTTTAGGAGCTGATCCAAGCATGATCACTTCTGGATTGAAAATGCATAACATAATTATTTGATCATGTTGTTTTTTTAATGACTAGAAATTCCGTGTTTTCAATCTGGATTCTAACTCTGTCTTTTCTAGCGAATATATAGACAAAACAACATTCGAGACCAGAATGTCAGGCTTACTGACATAGTAAATAGCCTTCAGAGGACAGAATCTAGCTGAACCAACGAAATTGGGATTAAAATAAAACACAACAAATGCGTTTTTTGGCAATATCATTAAGGACATGCCGTGTAATTTGACAGAACCATTTACTTTTTTCTATTAAAGGTGTGTCTACTAACACCTGTTGTTCAAACATTTAAATGTGTTACATCGCTATTGTAGATGGATCGCAAAATCTAACTGAAATGTTTAAGACATACAGTATGTCATACAACGTTTCCTCAATATGTTTCTATATTTTAATTTGTGTTTTTTTGAATTTGTTAGAAAAAAAACATAGAAATAAATTTCATTACAGGCAACTAAATGGCGACCGCCGTACAATATTTATTTTTGTTGCATTACTTTATATTATATTGACTGGTCTAATTAAATAATTGGTATGGACATCGATGTGCTTCAAAAGAAGAACAAGCAAACGTTTTGTAGTGATGCTAAAAACGTCTAAGGGCAAAGGTCTTTTCTCCCACGACAAGCGAACAACCTTGAGCAAATGGATCTTTTCTGCGATATTTTAGTGTCATGCGATTTAAAACACGCAGATGTCGTTCTCAAGATGCGACCTACTTTTCATTGACACATGTTATAACTGTCCAAGGGTCTTATAAAACGCTTTTAATTGCATTTTAAATTCACTATATTCAGTTTAAGCTACAAATAGACTAAATCTAAACTTTATAGGGGGTTATATAATATATAAGGTTAGGAGAATTATTAAAAGCATACACACCCTACTCCCCCTTGCAGTAAGCAAAAGGAGATTTATTTGAAGTAATTATCTTTCAGAACGCAAAGCCTGCAAGTTGTCCTCAACCTGTGGAAACGGTATGTTATTTTCCAAGAGATGACCCTTTTCCCGCAATGTCGATTATAAGGCCCTGTCAGCCGATATTAAATTTCACTTTTTACTGCGTCGCGCTCTCTTGAAACCCATTCCCGTTTTTAAAGACAACAGTTCTGTGAAGCCATGTACTGTGTCTACCCGCAGCGCCACCTGAGTGAATTTAGTAAATTTGTTTTTTAATGTCACACGTTTATCGTTTACAATTGGACGTTCGGTATGCAATGAAGGGGACAGACATGCCTTTTCTGGTGGCTGTAAAATAAAATACAGAGGGAAGTCCTATTGTCCTTGCAAAAACAGCATATCCATAAAAAATATATATAGCAGCAGTCAGCCCCTGTATCTGGAGACAGCGCGAAAACTCCCACAAGTACATCCGTTAATGAGCTTCTCCAAACCTCGTTCTTATGACCCCTGACTTTCAAACGTGGTCTTCGTTTCACTCCGTAAATTAAGCCCATTATACCAGCCCTGCATGTGAAACACTCCGCACTGGTCCCAGTAATGTGCTCCTGTCTCACTGTAGCCTGGGTTTGAAAACGTGCGTACGCTACCTGCACGACTCTCATATCCAGACCGGTCTCCGAAGACAACTGCTCCCTAACATGTCTGGCCGGTTTAGGAGAATTGTTGTAGGCGTTCTTCAGGGTTTCAAGCTGTTTGGCTGTGATGGTGGTACGTGGTCTCTTCGCAGTCGAATCTGCCTCTGGAAGAAATGAGGAATGATTGAGGTCAACGGTGTGGCGCGGATCTGGGCACAACTCCGCTCCATTCAGGACCAGCCATTTCTCCCGAACAATTGAGTTTCAGCTGAAAGTCGGTTTCTCCTTGCCATCTCCTTGTAGTAGTAGACAAGTGTCTAGTAGACACCTAGAAAAGCCGAAACCTAACGGTACTGTTAGAAAAGTCATTTGTAAAATCAGTCCACTTATAATCCAGAACTGACAAAATGTAAATATACTGTACATGCAAACTGAAAGATCACGCCCAACGTGCACAGACATAAGAGACTAATTTAGAGCACGATTGTTTTGTTGTGAATTTTGTATGAATTCGTTTTCTTTTAAAATCACCCATATTTCTGTTCTACTAAAATACATTGACTATTCCACTTTTTGCATGTACAGTATAACCAACAATACAATTTGAGACGTCTGAGTCGTTTAAAATATTGTCTGGACCCCAACCACTTATATATATACTGTATATAAATTAATTAATATATATTAATTTATAAATGTTAATTATAAATTACTATTTATAAATACAGACAGGGAATAATTATATTATATTGCAGAAAACTAATAAAAGTAATGTGGTTAGAACACAATAATATAACGTAGTTGAAAACTCAAACCTTATGAATAATTTCTGGTATATCAACGAAATGTTTGAGTTTTAACAAGCATGCTGAGAGCGTCAATAAATTGGACGTTCTAAAAAACGGATATGAAATGGGGAAGAAAATAATTATTTCGATGCAGCAAAGACGCCTGTTTAAAAACGTTGTTGAATTGGGCCAGCAATATGTTGCTAGTCATCTTTATCGGTTTCTGCAAAAAGATGCGGCAATAAAGCTCTCGCCTGCTATGGCTACTACACTGCTCATAACTAATGGCGCCCTCTTCATAAGAGAAAACAAACTTGTGTGTTTTCCTGAAAACTGTTATGATAATTCATCAAATTGAGTTAATCAAGTGCACACGAGCGCTGTAAATTCACACAGGCGCTAAATGTACTTTTGTAGACTGTGCCCAGCGTGTCGCACAAATGCATCCGCTGACAATGTCTGGCCAATGTTACTTTTGGACTAATAAAGTAAATTGATTTAATTTGACTATTTTATAATAACGAACTCCCTCATATACGTTTATGACACTGAGGGAAAAACGAGATTTCATCCTGTTCTTCCTATTCTTTACTAAAGCAAAAACAAACAAAAGAAATGAAAACCAACACAATGTTATCGCTGCCAGCAGTCTTTTCGTAAAATTCAGATTTTTTTTGGACAATATGCTCATGTTAGTCAATACATTGGGGGAAAAAAAAACACTTTATTTCTCAAATGATACGGTATATCTCTAAGGCTTAATGCGCATATTTCAATTACAGTTGACATCTCCAATGTGCTACACGACTGTTGTTCTGTAGTTTTCAGTAGAACACATTTACTTGTACAAAGTTCTAAATGGATATATACGCACGCACAGATAAATACATATGTAAAAACGGACCCGAGTTAGTATTCATTTGTCCTTCTCTTATACTAATGATTTGTCATTGTAATTTGTTTTTACCCTACGACTAATTGTTTACGTCATTCTAAAGACTGACTTTATAAGCGAAGTAGAATTGGAGGCTCGGCCCTGCTTTCTAGCTCTGTGAAAAGGACAGACCTAATCAGGCAGTCGGAACAATTTTATATCGCCGACGGTTCATCAGCGAAGCAATTATCAGCTTTACAGTCAGCAAGAAAATGTAAAACTGCTTTATATAAGCTAATGGCGATTCTATATCTTTTGAAGAAGCTTGCTGAAGCGCACGATATAGCCGGCCCACAGTTTAATCAGCTGTGCATTGTGCTGACTCTCAGCCCTGCCAAGTGAAGTGATATTAGGTATTCGGCGGGGGATGCCCATTTCTCTTTCTCGACTGCACTTGGATTTGCAGTACATATAAGGCGCACTGTCGATTCCTGGGCTGCGTTATAAGTGCAGGTGGGTCAAATGTTTATGCATGACCTGTTGACCTCCGGGATGAAGTTCACCGTTCAAAGCGGCTGTTTAATGAAAGGTTATTGAGTAAAAATAGAGAACGCATCGGCGATCTCAACACCGAGACTAATCCTTCATTTCTATTAATTATATAAATTGCAAGATGTACACAGTGATCCAATGCGCACAGATAGAAGGGGAGGGATTTTCTCTGGTTTCAGGGGAAAAAAAAAACAGATATGAAGTATTAACTAGAATGCTTGATTTGAATTATTCCAATTTAACTACAGCATCAATTGTGTGTATAATGTACTGTATATATAATGAAAGTGCCTTTGTGGAAGAAGTATGTATGAAGATACAGTAGTGCTTTATGGGTAGGAACTCTGCAGCCAGGCAATGAATATAATTCAGTCAGATTCCTCTTGGAAATCATGAGCATCTTTAACATTAAACAATGTTGTTGCTTTGGCAACGCCACTGTAATATTTATAAGGTTTCTCATCGTTGTATAAAATCTAAAATAAAACAACACCCCCCCCCCCCCAAACAGGAAATGCCCTTTTATTTGTGATAAGAGGAACATAATTTTTTAATTTCCTTATTTTTTACCGGGAAACATCCCTTTGGTTAAATCCCTTTACGTGATGATGGTAATATGATATTATGAGGAACGAAAATACCCGTGAAACATCTGTTACGCAAAACAGTTGTTTTGCTCCTGAAGAGAGGACCTCTTACTAATTATTCGACAGAAGTGGTTCATGTCTCTGAGATGATTCCGTCAAATCTAATAATTATTTTAGAAACACTGTGTAGAGAAACAACAATGAAATGCAGTGTATCGTTGGGATATGACAGTTTAACAATGCTAATGACTTAGGACAGGACCAATACCTGATAGTAAGAAATGGGAAAAATGTCCAAATAACGTTGATGACAAAATTTTATCATCTTTCCTGCTCTATTTTTACGAGCTCGGTTTTGGCATATAAACAAAGACAGTGGCTTGTCTTTTTTGGCTTTAACTCATAAAACTATACAGTAGCCATACACAACCAGGGAGGTAGTACAAATTTCAAAACCTAGTAAAAATAGTGAAGTACCATTTAAACAGGGGATACTGTATATCCAACGGCTGTTTATGGGCAGACAAACGTCACACTGTGTGCGCGGAGCTCAAGACATGACTTACCCTGAGATTCATCGCCCGTAGTTAATTTCCAAATGTATTTAGCGGCACATTGACAATGATCAAAGCATCAGTGTGCCGATGGGTTTTAAATGAAAGCACTGCTTTTAAAAATTGTACACCATACATTAAACGCCTACTGTAAGATAGCTGCACTCCAGCAATAAGCTGTAACCGTAAGCTATTTTCCGAACGCTGTTTGGAGCAGTGCACGGCGTAAATGCAGTTAAGTGCACCAAAGAGTAATGAATAGGCAACTATTATACGCGTCGAAAATTACATCTTATCATCCATTAAATGTGCAAATTACCTTCACACCCAAACTAATAATTACAAACTGTAAAATGCCCAGGTTCCATGTGTCACAAAAGCCATTAGAAGGCACAGAATCTTCAATGTGTACCGGTGATTGCAGTAGGAAAAATATTCCCCTTCTCCATGTCTATTGTCAACCACAGACATGTTGATATCAGAGGCAGAGGAGAAGTACAACACTTACCAGACACAGCCAGGGTCACTGAAATATCCGAAATATCCATGAAACTGATCTATCATATCACAGCATTATTGACTACACTCTTCAACACTCACCAGAAATATTCATTGAGGATATACTGTATGAGTACAAATTGCTTTGTCGAGCGGTGCAATATACTGTATCACACTATAATACATTATATACGGGCTTTGTTTTCTTTCATTTTAAGGAAGCAGCGCAAATATATCCAAAGGACGATTTAGGTCTGATGTAAATGTGTTACATGGTCTGCTGTGAATTAATACGATGTTGCATTTACTTTGGAGTGATAATATTTTAGATTGCAAACAAGCTCTTTCTAATATTACATAATAATATAAATAAAACTACTTATCCACATACGGTCACTGCTCACTCAGAGCTGTTGACCTAAATGTTAGTCAATGTGAAAAATTATGTGAATAAGAAGACCATTTCCTCCTTGGGGTCAATCACATACATTAATGAACATGTATTATCACATGTATTAATCACAGGTTTCGATTAAACGAAAGCAAGGCTCATGAAAAGCACAACGCGCTGGTGTTGCCCTGTTCATGAAGAAGCACTTGTGGCCTTTCGGTGAACCACTCACAGTATGTAACCGATTGCTTTAAAAGAGCGAATACAGGGTTTTGGAAAGGAAACATCGTATTTGTATTTCGTGCTGAAGTTTGTGATGCGTTAATGTTACGCGTTTCATTTGTAGACACTCTGCGATATTCCAATTTCTATCTCTTCCCCACGTCGCTTAAACATTATCTTTTGAATATGATAAAATACAAAGTCAATTTCAGTTTCGCCTCACACTGCTGAGTACCTCTAGTGGACTCTACAAATAATAAGACAGAATAATATGCACCACGGCCTCTAATTTGTAACTTCTCAGCAAATATTTCGTTTTTTTTCACCGCCGGATTTTTGTTTCAATTACGCTCTTACTTTTCTCAATTGGACCTTTAAAAGGATTAGTAATTTGCAGATTTTTTAAACAAACGCTTGTTTAGCTGAAGCTGCGGATTGCAAGGTACTTAATGATTTTTATTGACGTATAGATATCCTAACGGTTTCAAACTGAAAACAGCTAAAGAACAAAATAGCAGACCATTCCTTTTTGCATTTCGATGTCCTCAGGCAGCTCTGCACCGATATTGATTGTGAGTAATACAGCGGTGTGACTGCATATTGATGGTATTGAAAGAGCGCCGGCCTCTCACCTCTCTGTTTAGCGGTTTCATAGTCGGCCTTGCACACTAGCCGACTATCCTCCATTAGGTAGTATTCGTCACCGGTGGCGAGCTGTCTCTTGCACACTATACAGGCGAAGCAGTGGAGATGATAGACAAAGTCCTGCGCCCTTCGTACGACCTGAGTCGGCGGAATACCTTGTTGGCAGGCGGCACATTTAGTCCCAAATCTCCTTTTAGAAATAACAATAAAAATAAGGATATACCCAGGTCATATACCATGTTGCTGTTATTAGAGGTGAATCCTGGAAAAACGAAGTCAGTTATCTAAATATAATAATCTTCAAACTGCTTCTTCCAATTCAGGGTCGCGGGGGAACCGGAGCCTATCCCGGCAAGCAACGAACACAAGGCAGGGTACACCCTGGACGGGACACCAGTCCATCACAGGGCCAATCTTCCTAGATGCCAATTAACCTATCAGCGTG